GGGATCAAGTTTTACCTCACTCCAAATTTTACTCGACTGGCTGATGGTCAGGTGCGAAATGATGAAGAAATGGGCCAAGTCAGAAAAACATTTTTATTAGTTATTTATGAACTATAACCTTTAAGAGGGTTTCAATGGGTTAGGCGTAAAAGTTGACAATTTTAGACTGTTATTCGTAAAAAATGTTTACCGTAAGAATTGTTCTTTTAATTGCAACGGGAAAAAAAACTGACTGTTAGCTGTTAATGGGCCAAAATTTTAACTGTTAGCCGTAAAAGCTATTACCCCATTGAGACCTACCTAGAAATTAAAGTTTACACTTGGTCATTTATTTATTCTTAGTTTTTGTTCAAACTCGAAGGTGTGGCTTGATGCTGGAACGCAAGTGTTTTTTTCATATTCTATTGGACTCGGAACGTTGATTGCCCTCGGGAGTTACAACAGATTCCATCACAACTGTTACAGGTTAGAAAACACAAGAAAATTTGCTTGGTTTCTTTGCCAAGAGTATCGCCTCTTGTCTACTTGGTGACGTTTCGATAACCTTTCCACAGTTCTAGCTGAGATATTATGGCCTTGTTTGTATGAGATTACATTTAGCCAAATTGAGCTTTCAATCAGCAAATTTGCTCACGTTTTAAAAACTCGATGCTGCCTCGGAGAAACTAATTTAAGAATACAGTGACACCATTGATAGGATTTTATAATGAAAGAGTCAAAGGGGTCGAACATCTGTATCTATTTAAAACACAATTATTGAGTATTTCACGATAGCGCGCTTTTAAGCCGATCTAAGATTGCTTTGCATAAGTTTTCTTAACTTTGCCCCGTAATTAGTCTAAAAAACTTTCGCCACCACCTTGATCAATCAAATGCAAAACTAAAGCCCATCTCAACTTGGTTACCCGCGTTTTCCCGCGCTTTACACAGGGTGCCTGATTTTATCTTGAGTTCCCATTGGTTCATGGTGATTCCACCCTTGTTCTGATTAGTTTCTGTGATCACTTGGGTTTTGGTTTTCGACTCTCAATTGAAAACTGCTCAATAAAATTAAATTCTGAATAAATAAAAAACAGAAGTGCAAACTTGGATGTCTTGTTTATTTAGCGAAAACTTGTGTTAAACATTTTAATTTAACAATTAATGCTATTTCTCGCACAGGGACAGCATAATATTCGCTTGTGTAAACAGTGGAACAAGTTTCTACGGCGGTTTTGTGATATTCTCGGTTCTTGGCTTCATGGCTCAGAAGCAAGGGGTTGAAGTGAAGGACGTGGCAAAAGGGGGTAAGAAAAGACGGGTAGAGCCTAAGTAGAGCAATTTTCAAACGATTGTTGAAACCAACTCGAGATTGCATTGGATTTTCCTTCCATCCCTTTGTAATTAGTCCAGAAAACTGGTACCACTCTCGCACATGTTTATTAGTTCATTAAGTTGTATTTTCTCAAACTTTGTCTAAGAAGATCTTGTTGCCTCATTCAGAAGATATTGGTTATTTTACGATAAAATCTACCTTATCCTCTCGGCTCTGTAATATACATATCATCCCCCCTCATTGGCAGTTTTTC